ATTTATAACTGCAATGCAATATTTCTAAAATATTTAATTTATTTAATGTAATTTTGTACAATTTAGATTATTAAACATAGAATTAACTCAAAGTTATTTTGGTTGATTGATTCATGAGAATAATTTTTGTCTTTTAGTGAGACTGATTTACTAGAAAGAGAATATTTATTTCTTTTAGTGGGTACAATTTTTCATTTATGTATCAAAACTAAATGTATAAGATGCGCATTTGAATGTATTAACAAAACGATATCAGTTAAAAAACAGTATAGTATATTTGGCAAAAAAATTTAAAATTTCAAAATCCTAGTAAAAATGTTAAAAATATGAACATTTCAGTTCTAATTTAAATTCTTCGAATTAAATTTAAAATGTTTAATAAGAATTATATTATTTTTAAGGAATCATTATATATTTAAAATGTTTAGTTAATAATAGTAATAATATTTTTAATTATAGGTAGCTTACGTGAAAATATAGGTGGTATAAGAGCAGCGATTGGAAATAAACCAATAATGTTAGTTTTTGATACTTATGATCTTGACTTTTGGAAGAATAATATAACAACTAATTTAAAATCAATCATTAATCAAATGCAAAGCTTCCACGTTGAAGCAATTGTCTTGGAAAACACATATAATGTACGTATATGATAATTTTGTATGTTTTAATAAAGAATAATTGATACACAATATTTAAATAAAATACATAATTTTGCAGCAGAGCATTATAAAATTAAATATAAAGATCATAGATATTAATAGGTATCATAAATTATAAAATTGTAACAAAATACAAAAAATTCAATATTATTGACCCGTGTATCTTTCCAACACATATTATAAATAAAATAGAATGGTACTCTCTTAACAATAGTAAGTTTTATATTTTATCACTTTTAATATGTAAAAATTCAAAAGTATAAATGCCAGTATGCATCACGTAAAATTTGCACGAATACTGTTACGTGGTACCCAATAAAAACAGGTACCTATCGTAATGATGTTGATGGATCAGGGTAAATTGATTCAATGATTAATTTAAACACTTGTAAACACTTTAATAAATACAGATACAAATACAGATACAGATATAGATACAGATATAAATTATAAATTCGCGCGCTAACAATATCGAAGACGAAACTCAGAAGGGCTTCGTCTGATAGCTGGACACGTCTGCCGTTGGTGGTGAAACGGAGCCTTTATATACTCTGTTTGATTCTATTTTAATTGCGTTGTTTTCGGCACGTGGCTATCCTTGGCCTGGTTGTCTTATTTGAACGATTGATGTTCGCGGTTTCTTGTGATCTGAGATTTGCGCGTGGCACTCGTTAAAGTTTATGAGTGCAATAGTTATTTTTGGTACGTTTTTATGACTCGGAATATGCGTATTATTACCTCTCAGTAATATATGCATATTACAATACCTACTGTTAAAAATTAATAAATTTATATTTATATATGACGGTACTAAATGTTTGTAAAATACTATAGAAAATTAAAATTAGCGATTCAGCATATAATCGCTTAGCATATGAACGGATAATCTGACAACTGATAAGTAACATAATGTTACGTCAACATTATGTGCCAATTTGTAGACAGAATGATTCCTTGTCACTTAAGGTAGGTTTTCTAAGCTGGGACTAAGCAGTAACGACCACGTGATTTACTGCTCTATAACTCTATCATAATAATCATATAAGCCTTGTCGTGATTTCTCCTAAGTCCGATCGACGAGTGCTTGTCAACATTAGTCGTTGTGTTTGATGATCGTAGTGCTCTGGAAGCAGTGTATTATTTGCGTGGCGTTTCGATTTTATTCCAAATGAAACTATTATATATTTTTATAAACGAACTTATTCAATAGAATAATATCAAAAACTTTATTCGCTTCAACTGACGATGAACTCTATGTGGAATGAGTCTTATATATAATTGAAGTATACATTATTTCTCCTTCTTTCTCCACTTTTAATAAATATATGACTACTTTTATTATTATTTGTAATTACTTGTTCCATTTTTAGTGATCAATAACGGTAGATAAAAAAATAAAATTAGCGTGTGCACAATGAAATATCGAGCTGAACCAAACTAAACTGAAAATAAATGCCCGCCGCAACATTCAGTCTTGGAGTAGGAAACCAATATACGCTCAACGATCAGTCGTTGCCGCTAGTCACAGCTCAGAAACCGTACCTTTAGATAAATGTATTTTTAGCTAAAAAATACGATTCATGTAATCAATTCAATTGTTCGTAATTTAATATATCAATGTATAATTTCTGTAATGTTTGATTGTCCCATACTAAACAGTAAAAACATTTTGTTTAATTTTATTTCAGCTCGAATAACTTCTAGTAGCTTTATTTTTAAATGATTGTATTCGATAAATTAATTAATTTTCACATGTTTGCAATTTTAGGAATCAGCGATACTTCCAGATGGAAATTTTACGAACCTTTTGGTAAAATCGCTCCAGGAATTTAAATGTATGTTACCTACTATGATGTTCGGTATTGCTATGCCTGCAAAAGCAAATATCATTATTAATAGTAAGCTTATTACATTACAATAAATTGAGAACGATGATTATATTTTTGGACCCAAGTTAAATAACCAATTTATATAATTTTCATCAGGATTATGAACTTTCAGTATTTTGTTTCACAAAATTAACTTTTAGAGACTTCCTGAATTTTCTATTTGACGAATTTGCAGAATATAATTATAAATTGTATATTTTTTCTTTATTTTACTCTACATATTTGTAATTCAGTCTTGTTGTTCATAAAAGATCAATTTTCTCTAAATATATGTGAAATACTTTTCGATCACTTTCAAAATTAACAATCATATTTTTATAAATATAAATGTATGTAAAATCTAAACTTGTTTAGTTCTTCATAATTCGTCTGTATCATGACAGTTATTAATACATAAAATTAACACCGACTTTTTGCTTTCAATTTTAATCTAAATGGTCTTGACATCAACACATCTATACCATATCAATGATCTAAATTATCATATTCAATTATGTTAGTATAGGGTGACCAGACGTCCCGTTTAAAACGGGTGTTCATGCCAATATGCCATTTTTTATTGCATGTGTGTATATTTGTTCTCGTATCGAATCTTATCACGCGTATGCCGTGCGCTTGACGACAGCAACAGCTTTTGTGGGGTGACCGCCCAGTACGCCCGTGAGATCGTTACTCTCCGTGATTTTGGTTAATGAATGTTACCATTTTCGTGGGATGCATAGCGGTGCGTTGCGTATCCGCAGCCATCGTTAGCGGCGGTGATAAGCCTCCGTTTGCGACCGGCCGAGTACGTAAGCGCATTATTATCGTCACGCGTAAATGTTCGTTATTCCACGTTTTCATTATTTGTCGGTTATGTTTCAAAAAAGTTGATAGTCATGTTCTCCGTGCCACTAGTTTTTTCAAGTTCCTTTGTTTTCAATTTTAATGTCATGGCACTCAGGCATTTTATTCTTCATGTGGCGACCGGTGGCTTGTGCCTTCGTGGTAACGTTCATCGGCCGATATTCCTTCTTCTCTTTCTGTTCTTGTCGTCTAAACTACATCTACCCGTTTTTTGTTCCTGCTGCAGCTATCAAATCACGTATTTACTTGTGTTGTTCGCCTTACGTGAATTCTTCTGTCTGGTAAAAATCGTTCGCGCATAAATAAATAGTTTCCTCTTAGTCTAAAGGTTAGGTTGATTGCCAGCAAAAGATTGTGAGTTTCGTGTTTTGTCGAGTTGTGTGTACGCTGCAACAGCCATTGTGTTGTGAATTAAACATCGTGTTGTGGTTGGCGGCGCTCTTGAGTATGTGGGGGATCAAACCTGTACTTTTTATTGTATTAATACGATTATCAAACGGATCCCGGCACCTCAAGACGTCATAACCTCAAAAGGTATGTGGTGCACCAACCTTATAATTATATTGGACCGGCGGGTCATATATTGGTATTTTTTATAATTATTGCGCCTATTGGCATCTGTTTTATTATTGTATAACTATTACGCGTATTGGCCCCTATTGAATGATATATTTATTTAATTATTGT